TGTGTTTTGTATGTTGTAGACTTGTGTTTTCGTTTTTTCGGGAGCGTTTATTCTACTATGTGGGGTTTTTTTTCTTTAGTGTTGGAGTTTAGCCATTTTCGATGTTAGTTGGTGGGTGCATTTTCTAGTCTCGTTCTAGTGTGGTAGGCAAACGATTTTTGAATCGTTCCTTTCATCTGATATGGCTCTTTTTAGCTACTTTATTCAGTTGTTGGGTTTGTTTCCTATTTTTACATTTTTGTTCTATCCATAGTTAAAGTTCTTACAAAAAAAAAAAAAGAAAGAAAAAGAAAAAGATAAAGGCCGAACACGTTTTTCTTCTCATTGAATTATCTTTATCTATAGTATACCAAAGGAACACACAAGTGACATACAAAAAAGTTAGATGTTTGAAAAGTGCTTAATATTTTCCAATTAGCATTTATTTTTTAGGGAACCCATATAATATGATTTGTGATTATAGCATAATAATATATGAGTGAAGTTTAAAAGCATGAGCCTTATTTTTTGAATCACCATTTGAGGAAAAAAAATGAATATTGAGTCCCGAATTGACAAAGGTCTACATTTGGATCTTCAAATAATGCAATTTCCACAATATGGGACCCATCATCATGATATTCTCCCATTATATTCAATAAATCAATAAAAGACAACTGAACATGACATTACAACACACTTCAATAAACTTGAGGTTAAAAAAAAAAAAATATAATATATTCATACCATAACAATAACATATTAACAACAAGTGTTGCAGATCCCCAGCAAAGCGGAAGTCTGACCACGAAATCATGAATCTGCAATGGCACCTCAACATACCCTCAAAACATAATATATCCAAAAACCTACCGAATTACTACCTTGATTTGAGCCGTTAAATTAGCATGTATTTTGAAGCTATTCCAGTTGAAATTTATCAAATTCAGATACTGAGCAATAAATCAGATAAAAGCTAATTTGAGCACTGAACAAAAGCATTAAACTAAATCTTTCTAACTGCAGAAAATAAAAAATAAAAAATAAATAAAAAAAAAAAATTAGATACCCTGATCACGAGCATTCAAACAACCAACTACTACGTGCAAAACCAACACGCAGCTGAAGTGAAACAGGCCAAAACAGAGACAAGAACTTGAAATGTCAAATGGCAATCCTACACCGGCATA